TTCTGCATAATTCTGCTGCTGGCATTTTCTTTACTGTCTTCCTGGGATGTCCTTTTGCTGTCTCTTTTCCTGGATCTCAATTGCCTCTTACTTCTCTTGGTTACTCCCTCCTTTTGGTGAAGCATATCTTCCAGTTCTGAAAGGTAAATTTTTCCTTATCTTCATGGTCTAGAACCTTTATACTGATGAAGTGCCTGGGTGTGAAACCCTTAAATATCATTACTATATGCCTTTTCTCTGGGATTACTTAATTTTCCCATAGAATAATCTTCCTTACAGGCAGAAGATGATAGAAGGAGCGAGTATGGGTGCTGGCCTTCTGGGAGTCAAGTAGCGGAAAGAAAGGTGTAATATGAACACTATTCCTTATCTGCTTTTTTGTCCTCCCCCCCCCCCCCCCCCCCCCCCCCCCCCCCCCCTCCCCCCCCCCCCCAAGTGCTGTGTAGGAATCTCCCTACTTCTCAAATCTGTCTGATGTCATCTCTCTGAGGGCTGGGGGTGGGACCTCTAATATCATTGCACAGTGGTAGGTGAGTAGTCACCAATGCTTGGGTTGGCTAAGTGGGGTTCCAGGGATCTAGTTGTACCTTTTAATGACTCTTGATCAGTTCTGTTTTCAGCTCCACTCATGCCTTTACCTTCAGGGCTATCTGATGCCTCCAAATCCCTTGCTTCTTCCAGTGTTGCATACACATTGGCTTGATTCTTTTGTATTTTTTTACCCTTGTAGGTGTTTGATTTTCAGCTTTCTCAGGCCTGTTAAGTCATTTACCACATTCTACCTTTAAATTTTGACAACTTTTTTTCTTCTTTTCCTTTGTGGATTTATGCCTCTTTTGTTCCTATAAGGTTATTTTGATAGTTAGTGGATGCTGTGGACTGAATGTTTGTGTCTTCTCAAAGTTCATATGTTGAAGCATTAATTTTCATTGTGATGGCATTTGGAGGTGGGGCCTTCAGGAGGTAATTGGGTTTAGATGAGGTCGTGAGAGTGGAGCCTGAATGCTGAAATCGGTGCCCTTAGGAGAGGATGAAGAGACCAGGAAGGTCTCTCTCCTCCATGTGAGTACATGACTAGAAGGCAGCCATGTGCAAACCGGGAAGTGGGCCCTCACCAAGCACTCCACCATGCTGACACCCTGATCTTGGACCTCCAGCCTCCAGAACTGTGGGAAGTTTCTGTTGTTAAAGCTACCCAGTCTATGGTATTATTGTTACAGCAGACCTGACTAAGACAGACCAAGACAGTGGATATAAGTGCCATTTCACCTTTTGCTGTATTTTTCGTCCTTAACAGTGAATGTTGACGTGAAGAAGTATGAGGCCCACCTGCATTTTCCTTTACATTTTCCTTTCTATAGTTGGCTTTCCTCTATAGCATGCATTCTCAGTGGGGGCAGTACTTGATTCTTTGGAAAGTGAAATAATCTTAGATATTACAGTACTTTGGCCCTACAGGAAAAATCTACTGAACAAAATCTTATTCCTTAATATTTAATTTCTCTCGCTAAGGAGAAATTATTTTATTTTTTCTCCCGGGGGGGGTGATAATACAAAACGCCTGAGAAACATTGTTCTGTAGCATTTCCTTTATTCTTAACCTAATTAACTTCACAGAATAAGCCTTCATATTGATCTTTCTATGTCCATTTTTCCTGGGCATAGTATGTCTTGCTGATCTGTAACTTGAGTATTTTATTTAAAGAAAAGATAATATCTTTGAATATTTTTCCTGTTACATTTGTTACATTCTCATCTTTCTAAACACCATTTGCTTGACCTCGTTTGTCTAGTTATTATGATGTTTCTTTTGCTTTGTATTTTTCTCAAGTCTGTTCACCATGCCCTTTTAGCCTTATTTGCTTTTTAGTGCTGCATATGATCTGGTTTCAACTCTATTTCTTTTTTCTTAGCTCTTGTAGCTTACTTTTCATCACCTGTTACCTTATGTCTTCTTTAAATTTTTTAGAATTTTTTTTTCCTGAAGTTAGGTCACGTTGTCTCTTACATCTACCACCTCTTGAAGTTTTTCAACTAATTTTGGCATTTATCCCATGTTTATTTCTTTCTAAAAATTGTCTGTCAGGGCTATGACTAGGGTGAGACCAATGAGGAACTAACCTCAGTCATAAAATTTAAGAGAACATCAAAAAACTCAATAATCAAGATAAATGGTACTTTAATACAATATTTTTTAAAAATTAATGCATAATAAACAAAATATTTACAGTGAACAAAATACCAAAATTCTAAATAAAGGCAGAATCAGTTGTGTTTGAATGAAGCAATGAAGTCAGATGTTTGGTGAGGTTATATGTATGTGTGTATGTGCATGTGTCTGTGTTTGAGACATGATGTGAGCTTTATTGTCTAGACTTCAATTTATCTCTGAAACACATCCTCTTAACAAATCTGTTATTTCCTTTACTCTGTAACTTAGCTTCCCTCACTTTTGCACTTTTTTGGGATTCAAGGCTTCTGTGTTGTTCACAGACTCTCTATCACCTGACAGTTGGTGCATCCTTTTTTTACGCCACCTACCCCTCCGATTGCGGATGGTAGAAATGGCTACCTTGTGTACATTTTCTGTCAACTCCATCTCTGGGAGTAGATGTTGAGATATTGCATCTCATAAAAATGTGTGACATTCAAATCAAGTTTTCAAATCCTTTAATTACAGCTTTCTAGACTGTCATTTTCTTCCATTCCTAATATGTATAACTCTTTATCTGTTAAAAGCTTAAAATTCTCCACATTTCCAAACTCTGAAACATAGGGAGAAGAGATCATAATCGATATATTGGGCAGATTTAGTAATTTGGCAGATTTCAGATTTTATTAAATCACATCCAGAGGAAGCTTAGTGGCAGATTCCTGTTTTCAGGAATTTTTTGTGTGTGTGTGTGAGGAAGATTGGCCCTGAGCTAACATCTGTTGCCAGTTTTCCTCTTTTTGCTTGAAGCAGATTGTTGCTGAGCTAACATCTGTGCCAGTCTTCCTCTATTTTGTATGTGGGATGCCACCACAGCATGGCTTGATAAGCCGTGTGTAGCTCCACACTTGGGATCTGAGCCTGAGAACCTTGGGCCGCCAAAGCAGAGCGTGTGAACTTAACCACTGTGCCGGCCCAAGGAATATTTTAAATGTGGCATTAGGCTCATTGGAAGATTGTGAGGAAATTCTGAAGATGTCAAAGCTGGAAAAGTGTTTGCTGGAGAAACTAGTAAATTTTGAACTATATGTAATATTTCCTTTTATTTTCTAAATCTTTAGTGAGGATACTGAACACAATACAAAATGTAAAACATTTTTTAGGAATAGTAACTAGAAATGGAATGAGAATGGTTATGAAGTAAAAGTTAAAAAACCTCTGTGCTACTTCGAACAGTAGACTGATCAGTTAAATTATTTATTTGGTTCTTCAGATAGTGTATATGCTCTCCCATTCCTCCAAGAAGCTTTTCTCAATAACTGGACTCCTTAAGATTGGGCACTCTCTTAAATTTATAGTCATTATTGTATTTATGAGTGTTTGATGTTGTCTTTTATGAATTTCTTTTTGCTTCTTTCAGCACACTCTGCGTGCCACCATGGTCCTAACTATGATAGGACTTTATTTTCCTAGTTTTATAGTAAAAAATTTACTAGTTTCTCCAGCAAGCACTCCCAGCACATAGTGATGCAGAAAATGTTCAGTTTGTATCCTTTAGCCGGTCAGAACCGTCATTTGTTATCTTAATCTTAAAAGAGAAATTGTTTCATAGGCAAAAGAACATTGTGGAGTTGCCGTATATTGTTTTTGCTAAATAAACTGCTAAGGAGATAAAAGATTGATGCTGTTAAGGGGGGAGAGAGAATAAACAATAAACCCTGGAAGTACCATATGTAGATTCTGTTCAACAAATAAGTTTATTGTTACATTGACCAGAAAGGATTTTCTCCCCTGTAAGGCTCAGATTGTTCACAGGAGAGGAAATTGATTGACTCTTTGTGCTCTATCCAGTGGAAGAAGAGGTGGTATGAATACGTGATGTGATCCTGTCATATTTGAATTCATTTATTGGGGGAAAAACAAGGATATAAAATATTCATATCATATATTCTTATGAAGAATGTACAACACTGAACCAAATAGTTGACATTTTCAGTAAATGTTTATATTTTGATGCAGGCAGTTTCCTCTAGCTATCTAACTTAGGTCTCATGTAATGTTTATTTTATGTTTGCTTTTCATTGGAAGCTCTCCTGGCTGTTATTATCAAAGACATTTTATAAAAGCCTAGAACTTAATTTGAGATACTTGGGAGGAAATGTTAACATTATTTTGTGACAGAATATAAAAATATCTTATTTATCAAATTTAATGAAATAAAACTGTTCATGATAAGAATTTGCCTTTGAAAAATGGAGGCAGGAAAAAAGTAGTAAATATATTTCCTAAAACTTATTTTGCCCCTTTTTTTATTGTGCTTTTGGTGGTGTTCCCACTAGTTAAGCTCACTCAAAGCATTTGATGAAAAATATTAGCTCTGTTTTTTTGAAATATATTTCCAGTTTGTGTCAGTTCATTTGTAGGAATAGTGAATGAAACTAAGTTTTTGGTAACTATGCCCTTGTTGTGCTCTTTAGCTGAAAGATCTTCAAAAAAGTTATTTGAGTAGAAAAATAAAAGAATAACAAGAGTCTCTCACCAGCTAGAATGGGTATGTTGATGTTTTTGCTGTAGGGTATAGCGCTCTTAAGACTATAACTAGCGGGCCGGCCCCGTGGCTTAGCGGTTAAGTGCGTGCGCTCCGCTGCCGGCGGCCCGGGTTCGGATCCCGGGTGCGCACCGAGGCACCACTCC